GGGCCCCAAGCCCGTTTGCGCCGCCGGTGATCACCGCCACCTTCCCCACCAGCCTTTCTTATAAAAACTTAATTATCAGCCATTGATTAAGATAAAGTTAATTGAGAAACTAGAGACTAGTGAAGGAATTCTTACTTCTTCTCTAGAGCATACATGTTGGATGAATTGGTTTGTGTTTCAGATGTTGATGTGCAAGGGAAGAGGAAAGGAGCCATTTTTATAGGAGATGACCGACGTACGATGATGTGGATTATATCGTATTATATAACATGTTTGATGTGGTATGATTCATGTCGTCATTTATGTGTACGAAAACATATTAGGTCTGTAGTATAGACCGGTAGACGATGGTGTGGATCGCACCAGCTCATAAATGTTCACATGCACGAACCCGTAAATTTTCGGATCTGATGAATTAATAATAGAAATCCGTATGTCTTTAATTAATCTCATCCATTTAAGAACTTTTCGGATATATCGATAAATTTAATTGCATCATTGGTTTCAATGCACATGCAATAAGAAAAGATGTATTTTATAGAAATTTATCTAAACGGCACGCAGTCTTTTTTGTATTTACACATGTAACACCTAAATTTTGATGTTTACACTCATAACACTTTGTTTTTATAAATTTATGTATAAGAATATGTATTTTAGGTCTTAAAAAATAATACTAAAAAATTTTGTGATATACATGTCAATATCAATACATTTGGATACTGTATGTTCCGAGGATGATTTCATCCACACTCGTTCGAACATCTGAAAATGACGGACGTAATATTTTCTCTTAAAAACATGTAAGTTCTGACTTTTGCCCTCCGAGATTCTTTAACTTTTTTTTTTTTTTTTAAATATCTATAACTTATAGTTTGAATGCATGATATAATTCATGGATCACCAGCTCCACCATCCTATATGTTAGTAATAAAATAAAAAATTAGGTGCCGTGTTTCTTTCATATTAATGGATAATGATCTTTTAATATATAATTCTAATTGTTTAAAATGAAGTTGTTGAAATATTAGTTAAAACATGATGCATGTGGTGTGTATATATATATATATATAATGCTTAATGTTATGTAATTGTTATTTAATAAGTACAGAGAAACTTACCAGGCAGCCGAAGTGGAACCGCACATGTCGTCACATGCAGAATGGCGTCGGTAGTTTCATCCTTTCAACGCCAAACTCAAAGTCATGCAATTGCAAATGGAATTAGTTAGTGCACCCTGTTAATCAATATAATTTTAATATTTTTAAGTTTATCTGTTATTAATATAATATATAAAAAGTGTTTAGTATGGCTCATATACGGTATATAAGGGACAAATGTTAGAGTGGAACGGAGCAAGTTAGTGGAGCGGAGCGAAAAAATATATCCAATTAGGGGAGTTCCGTTACGTGGGTTGAGGCATGAGGGGGCAACGCCCCGCGATACAATATAAGGATAATTTTATAATTATACATTATACTTTAGAGTCATATATATACCCTATTTGTAACCCTATGAATATATTTTGTACTTCTTTTTTGAATTGAAGAAAAACCGCCGTCATATTTATCGAACCTCGTTAAATCTGTGTTTTGAATTTATGTTTATTCCTGTTTTCTTTGCCCAAATTTCTCAACAAAAAATTAATTATCTTAAAATAAATCATTTTTTTTTCTAACCGGCCAAGTTTATTTTAATTTTTTCTTTGGCCATTTTATGAGGAAAAATATTTCTTAAACCACCTATGCTAAAAATAAATTTCTAAAAATGGTCATTATAATAATTGTTTTTTTTCTTAATTAAAAAATAAATCCCCCATTAAATCCAAGTTTTTCTTAGCGTTCCGTCTCTGTTCCCCTTTTTCCGTTATTGTTATTTTTATGAAGTAAATCCAAATTTAATAAATCCGACTGGGAGCGAGACACAACTCTTGCATCGCGGTAACGATATGTTACATCCGGATTCATCAAATCCTATCAAATGTAATCTTAAATGCTTTGCAACCGCCACACTAGAGAAGAACTACGCATTCAAGCATATATGCCATATAAATAATGCACTTAAGAAAACTAAGAACAAAAGGCTCCATTATTTTAGCTCCTTCAAAGTATAACAAAGAGAGTTGACGGCAGAAGTACAGCTACCTTCGCCCTCTCCCATGGAAAAGAAAAAAAAGGGAACAAGAATTATATTTGGTCGTAAGCAATATATATATATATATATATATATATGATTAAGGCATGGGATGGAATACTTGTGGTTGGTTGGTTACTCAGCTGCTTTGCCTTTCAGGCGATTGCTTCCGCCAGGTGGGGAAGAGACTGCACCTCCCATTTCTAACAAGTAGCAGAGCAAGGAATCAACGTCGTCCCCAAATATGCTGTACCCTTCAATCACCTGCATGTAGCTGAAACCCATTGATAGAACTATTTCGACCGTGCTGCTTGGCCCGGACTCAACTGGCGCCTTCTCTCTTTTGTTGCCCGGATGCGCATTTCCTGCCCCCATACCAACATACAAAATTATTGATGCATAAAATCTATATTTTTTGTGTTTGCATGTGTAAATGGATAGATTGTGTATGATCATATTCATATAAAAATTATACTTGCAAGATTCAAGGTGCATTTGGGTCAGCTTGTGTTTATCCAAATAAAACGCTTATCTGGAAATGCGAACCGCAGGGTGTGACCCGCTTTCCGCGTTTGGTGTAAGAAATCAACTGCATTTTCGGATAAGTTGCTCAAACACAATTTCCAAATGGTGATGCAGCGTTTTCAAAAAGCAGCCAGAGCAAATAGGTTGCCCCAAACAGAGCCTAAACATGCATGACACTCGAAGCCTATGTATTTGCATATCTAACAACAAAACCTCAATTTTAGGTAAATGCTAACGTACTTGTAGTAGAGGAAGATGGTTCGGCTCTAGATGTGGAAGTTTCTCGTGAGGAAGGAAGTTGTCTGGACTTGTCTTGGCCGAGATATTCAGCTCGGGAGGCCTCCATGACCATGCGCTCTATTTCTTTCTCTGTTAGCTCCACGTCCGAGTAAAAACGTCCCTCAGCTAGAAGTGCCTGCCCGTGGAATAAAAGCATTATAATTTTATAGGAATTACTATCTTTTGCAAGGATCCCCATGGATTAAATGATGATGGATTAATATGAAAAGAATTTCAATATATTTTTTTCACTTCACCCAACTGAAAAAGAACACTTGAGCACATTCCTTTCCACTCTAATGGAAGAGGGTAACCATTTTAGTCCCATGCTTACAAAAGCTTCAATTTAATCCCCAAAATTTTATAAAATGTGCTGCAAAAATCCCCAAACTCTTTACAAGGAGGATTATTCAGCCCACATTAAAAAGATCTGGAGGCTAATTAAATAAACATTCCTATAGACTCTGAGATTAAAATGGTAACATATAAATAAACAGGGACCAATTTTGACATTTTACTTGGATAGGATATATAAGCTTCAAATGCATATGGCATTACCAAGTAAAATATGGCATGATATTAATTAAAAAAAAAGGAAAATACTGCATGGCAGGTAGAGAAAACTATTCGCACTTACATTGTCAATCTGCTGGTCTTGTTGGGCCTTGATAGCAGCCTTCACCCGGTCCTTATCAACATTCGCCTAACGAACAACAATGCAAATCAACTAAAAGGCGAATTACCAATATAGGAAAAAAAACCTGGAGGAACCCTTAACAACTATTTTGCTCCATATTTATTTTTCTAATAATTATGGAACTAAGGTTGATGTTTAGTAAAGTTAATTCTCTTACAAGGTAAAACTTATCTTTTTTTTTTTTTTTTAGCATAACACTCACATTATTACATACTCAAGGACAAAGCAGCGAGAGAAAAAAAGGACAAGCCATCAAAAGGAGGAAATAATTTCGCACTGGCTCGGACCAAATGCAAGGAACAACAATTTCACATCACTGAAAAAAAATTAAATAAAAAAATTATGGGAGATTACATACATACAACATAATTCATTTGGTATTTGCATATCTAACACCTAAAGTTTGATATTTATATTTATAATATTTTGGTGTCATGAATTTATGCATAAAAAAAGTGTACTTCAATTTTAAAAAAGTTAACAGCTGTGGTCTTTTGATGTGATATTGACTACTACAGTATTATGCATGTAAATATGAAAGTTTAGGTTTCAAATATGTAAATACATAAATGTTGTATGCAGATAAATGCTCAAGGGCTCACCTCCCGAAGGCAGCTAAATCCAAGTCCAGCCCCAATAGTCAATCTGCGGGGATCAACAAGCGAATTGTAATGATTTCCATGGTGGTAACTTAACCTGATTGGCGGTGTGTCTGTGCCATAGCTTCCATGGAAGATGTTGATAGGTTCTGAAGAGAGGAAATGAGAATTAAAAAATAATAATAATACCTATTTATCAATAAATGAATAGTCTATCTTACAAAGGTAGGATTGCAATTCATGAAATGAGTGATAAGGAAATAAAACTATCACCTGTACTGTAGCAATAAATGTGGATAGGACGATTGTACATCTCCGAAAAGGCCTGGATTTCCAAGTTATTTCCATATACCTGATAAAATGGAATGACATTTAATTACTTTAATAAGGCTGCATTTGACTGAGTACACTCGTAATTGAAGCAGGTTGTCAACAGAGCGAATTGAAAAAGAATGATTTTATGCAACTTGGCAAATCTTTACATTCATAAATTAAGTTCCTAATTTAATTACATACAGATAAGACATGATTTGCCATGGTTCCCCGCAAATGCTATACAAAACTGCGATTCTTCATCCACCAAACCACAAGGCTTTTACCATATTTTATATACAAATCCCATGAGATCTACAAGCATCCCGAAACCACAAGGCCTCCGAAATAGACATTGAACAAATGTGAGATGCTTTGCATTTAGGGATGTAGTCAAGTCTATTTAACCTTTAATAAAGCTTAACTTTATGTATTAAATTGAGGCTCAAACACAAGTTCAAGTCTCAAGCTCAACTCAATCAAATTCACTCGACAAAACACCCCTCATCTTACATCTTCTGGTCATCTTTTAAGAAGAAAATTAAAAAAAAAATGTTATCTTATGGGATAGAACTATACTTTGAATAGAATAAATTTACGATAAGGTTTCTAAACTGATGTATTATAGATAGATATTAATTGGCACCCATTATTCTACAAATTGGAGGCCTTGTTATTGTACGTTTTTTTTGCAAAAAAAAATTTTTTTTTTTTTTTTTTTTTTTTTGAAAGAATCATTGGCATCCCTCTCTCCCCATATTTGCTCGTTTGCCAAAGTAGCAAGGATTAACAGCTTCTTGTTTCCCAATTCAATTTCTATATATTGAGCAATCATCGATCATCTCAAGTACAAGGGAAAATGATCTTCCTCGTTGCTTTCTTGGTTAACAGTGCATATATTCATGATGCAAGTCAAGAATTACGAAAACTCCATTATCCTTTGAGTTAACCTTTAAAGTCCTAATAATGTGCCCTAATATTTTCTACTAATTCCAAAGTTTTCTATACCCCAATTTTGGATTAAATAAGTCTATCTTCAATTATCTTCAACCAATATAACTCAAACTATTCTAACATAAAATCCGACTCTAAATTATTTTTCCTATCACACATTCTTAGTATTCTCATCTGACGCTGATAATTTAAATATCAATGATATCTTTACTGTCAAACACTCAAATATATACAACATAAATAGTAATGGAGGGCATTTATAAACTTTATATCACATGAGGATGGTAAAAGGGCATATACGAGATGATTATTCAAAGTTCTAATTTACATCCAAGCAAACAACATATTAATTCCCAAAATGCAGTGACTTAAGAATATTTGTGAATAATCTAACTCAATATGATGCAAATATGAAGGTTTATACTCATTGTACATGCAATATATAAGCATCGGGATAAGAACATTAATATTTTGAGTTTGGATGTTGTCTAAGTTATCATATTTTCTATTTTCTTATTTATTTTTTTATGTAAAAGAGTATTATGGTGGTGCCTATAAAAATGGAACATGTTCGTTATTGTTTTAATTCATTGATTGGTTTGGTTCAATACTTTCAAAGCCTATGTTCAACACGTTTAGCTCCTTGCTTTTGTACAGCCACTACTTAGCAGGTTCTATCATTGGGTTACTGTTGCAAATGCCAGCAATTATTGATAGCAACTGTTTCCATTATTTGATTGATGATGAGAGACACATTTCAACACAAACCCAACAAATATAAAAAATAGACAAAACATGCCATGGATGAATTTTTATTTTATTGTATATTATAAAAATAATGTAATTATGACACCTGATACTAGTAATACAAAAGCACTGCATAATCAAGTTAACAAATCCCATGAGTGATAGGAGTAGAGAGCTAAGGAATTTTGATTAATTGTTATAATTTCTTTTTTTTTAATCTATGGATGTTGCTATATTGGAATTTGGACGATAGCGGTAAGAGAGAAATTTATTATGCAAAACTTAGTGTTGTCTTACTTTGCTTTGATATATTGTGTTACTTCTATGAAAAATTTGATGTTACTCTGCATTACACATCTACTATACATAACTTGTTATGTGATATTTTACAACTAACGTAAATTGTCATTTATTATTTAATGCTATGTAAATATGTTAATACATTTTTTTCTTTAGTATATTTTTAAGATATGTATTAATATATTAATACTAACATTCGTTTTGACTCTACATCATTTTCTTATGAAACTTGCGTCTCAAAACGCCTTAAGATTTATGCATCTTCTCACGAACTAAAAACACAGTGAAACACCTTAATACCTAACTGTGTAATTTTAAACATTGCATCCAACTTAAATTTTTTATTAAAAAACATTAATTTTAGTTTGTAAAAAAAAAAAAAAAAAAAAAAAAAAAAACTTATATTTATTTAAAAAAATTCCTCAACCTATTTTTACTTATAAAAAATTGCCCTTGAAAGGACCCCACCCATATGGTGTAAAAATCCAACCAATCATAACAAACTTGCCAGATGATGATTTGCCAAGGCTCCCCACAAATGCTATACAAATCTGCAATCCTTCATCCATCAAGCTGCAAGGCTTTTACTATTTTATATACAAATCCCATGAAATCTGCAAGCATCCCGAAACCAGAAGGTCTCCGAAGTAGACATTAAGAAATGTGAGATGCTTTGCATTTGGGGATGTAGTCAAGTCAATTCAACTCTTAATAAAGCTTAACGATGTATTAAATTGTGGCTCACACTCAAGTTCAAGTCTCAAGCTCAACTCAATCAAATTCACTCAACAAAACAACCCTCATCTTACATTGTCTGGCCATCTTCTCAGAAGAAAATAAAAAAAAAATATTATTTTTTGGGGTAGAACTATAATTTGAATAGAATAAATTTATGATAAGGTTTCCAAAACTGATGTATTATAGATAGATATTAATTGGCTCCCATGATTCTACAAATTGGAGGCCTTATTACTGCACGTTCAAACAAAAATCAGACTTCCACAATCAGTTTTTTCTTTTTTCTTTTTTTTTTGTTATAAGTAATCATTGGTATCCCCCTCTCTCCCCATATCTGCTCGTTTGCCAAACTAGCAAGAATTAACAGCATCTTGTTTCCAAATTCATGTTCTATATATTGAGCAATCATCGATCACCTCAAGTACAAGAAAGGAAAAATGATCTTCCTCGTTGTTTTGTTGGTAACAGTGAATATAATCATGATGCAAGTCAAGAATTAAGAAAACTCCATTATCCTTCAAGTTAACCCTCAAGTCCTAATAATGTGCCCTAAATTTTTTCTACTAATTCCAAAGTTTTCTATACCCCAATTTTGGATTAAATTAGTCCATCTTCAATTATCTTCAACCAATATAACTCAAACTATTCTACCATAAAATCAGACTCTAAATTATTTTTCCTAATTCTATCACACATCATTAGCATTCTCATTTGACACAATTAATTTAAATTTCAATGATATCTTTACCGTCAAACACTCAAATAAATACAACATCAATGGTAATGGGGTTTTATAAACTTTACATCACATGAGGATGGTAAACGGGCATATACGAGATGATTATTCTCAGTTCTAATTTACATCTAAGCAAACAACATATTAATTCCCAAAATGCAGTGACTGAGATTATGTGTGATGATCTAACTCAATATGATGCAAATATGAAGGTTTATACTCATTGTACATGCAATATATAAGCATCGGGATAAGAACATTGACATTTTGAGTTTGGATGTTGTCTTAGTTATCATATTTTCTATTTTATTATTTATTTTTTATGTAAAAGAGTATTATGGTGGTGCCTATAAGAATGGAACATGTTCGTAATTGTTTCGATTCATTGATTGGTTTGGTTCAATGGTTTCAAAGCCTACGTTCAACACGTTCAGCTCCTTGCTTTTGTACAGCCACTACTTTGGCAGGTTCTATCATTGGGAGACTCATTTCAATTGCCACTAATTTTTCTAGGATAGCCACTGATTTCATTATTTGATTGATGATGAGAGACTCATTTCAACACAAACCTCCCAACATAATTATAAAAAAATAGACAAAACATGCCATGGATTAAATTTTATTTTATTATATATTATAAATATAAAAAATGTAATTATGACACCTGATACTAGTAAAATCTATCAAAAGCACTGCATAATAAAGTATAACATCATATACTAGCACAAAAAACATAATAACAAGATATGAAAAACTATTATTGTTAATTTAAATTAAATTTCAAAATTTTATAATGTCTACTACTTTCAGTTGTCAATAACACACCAAAATTAGCATTCGCCAATCATTACATAAGCTAAAATCAACATTGTTTATAAGCTATAAAAAATCCTAAAAAGAGTGGCCAATATCGTTCTAAAAATAAACAAACAACATCATAAAATCTTGTTATTAAAAATTAGCACGGATTTTTTATGAAACCTATAATAACACAATAAAATCCTAAAATATAATAATTAAACAACATTAAAAGAACAAAAATTAAAAAAAAAACCATAAATTTAAAATTAAGGTTAAAAGGGAAAGTTAAAGGCTTAGAGCCATTAGCATTTAACTCTAATACCTAATTAGAGTAATAAGAGCAAACTAAAGGCATTTGCAGAAATCGTGCAGAAATCAATAGTAGGAACTAAAAATTGCACCAATTGCAAGGAATAACTAACCTTAGCTGATTTGAGAAACATGTGAAAGGTTACAATAACTATGGCAAGCGACAAATTTAATAACACGGACAAGATAAATGCCTTATTAGAACAAAAAAATATAAGAGGAATACATAGCATGATTAAAAATTGAGCGAATATGATGACTGAGAGCAATACTAGTAATACAAGAAGAAAGGCAACCGTACCGGCTTATGTGAGAAATAACCAGACAATAGTGAGATCAAAGGAGTGATTGATAGAAAAAGATGCTATGCTACAACTACGAATAAAATGCTCATGAGAGAAGCTTACAGCAAAAAAAAATGGGCACAAACTAAACACGCTATGTTGGTCATGCACAGCCTTTCTTCGACCCAAGTTCGAGACTAACTGCCTGTTTAGCGGAGCTGCGAGAAAGCGGCACGGTCAGCCGCCTCATTTTTTGCCATTTGAAAAAGGTGTTTTGCCTGCGTTCAAAATGAGGCGGCACGTCGTAATATTGGTTTCACGCCACTTTCCACAGCATGTGTTCCACGTTTTTATGTTGGCTATTACTCAAGAGCCCTCTATCCACTCCGCCCTACTCGAGCTTGCTTCTTTGCGCGCAAAGGCGAGGGATCCCGATCAAGATACTTTCAATCTTCATATCTCCCCTCTTTGCTCAGATCTCTCTAAAGGTACCTTTAATCTCTGCCCTAAACTTTGTGGGCTGGTTCATGGTTTGATTTCTGCCATGGAAGAGGCATCGGTTTGGATCTCTCTCCCATAATTTGTTGTTGTTTTCTCTGTAGGATTTTAGTGTCTATGCACGATGATAATGTTTCTTTCGTGGGTATTTTGATAACTATGCATTTCAATAGTATATTGGGTGGTTTGCATTTCTATGGGGATTTGATACGGGGAGATTGTTGTTCTTTGTGGGGGTTCAATCTATCTGTTGGAAATTTGTCAGGATTTAATATATATTCATTTGAGTACTAAATTATGGTGGTTGTGTTCGTGCATATTTTGATGTCTTTGTGGGGTTTCGATCTCTCTTATTTTGATTCTTATGTTTAGCAAATTGATTTTTGAGAAATGCTACTTGTGGTATTAGCGAATTGATGGTAGTTGTGATATGAAAGTTACATGGGGATTTACGATATGAAAGTTACATGGGGATTTACACACAAACCGAGCACACAGTTCTTATGTGTTTACATCAATATGGAAGTATGTAGATTGATTGGTGTAGTTGTATTTGTGCATATTTTCCGTTTGAGGAGTGATTTACCTATATTGCTTATATGGTAGCAGTCATTTTAATGTAATTTTACCGATATGAATTCTACATGCTTATAAAGCTCAATTTTTTTTTCTGAGAAGTTTCATAAATTTATTAGATTTTGTTTGCAACATATGTAAATAGGCTTATTAGATGATTGGATTAAGCAGGGTTCATGTAAGATTGTTGGATATGTGGGGTTGGTGTATGCATGTTGTATGAAATTATATTAAATGTTTAAGAAAATTTACAAACATAGCACACAATTCCTATGTGCTTACATTCATGGCAAATATATGCATAAATATGAAAGTTTAGATAAGATGGTATTTGTATTCGTGCGTATCTTACTGATTTGACATGATCGCACTTTATAGCTTATGTAGTAATATTGTTCATTTTGATGTGGTACTAAAGATTTGAGTGTTATGTGCATAAATCTAAAAGTTTTGCCATGCAATGTAAATTCGTTAGAAAGGTGCTATGTATGCAAATGGAGTTTCTTTGATGAATTGAATATGTGGAGATGGTGTATGCTAATTGAATATGTGGAGATGATTTATGCTAAGTTGGATGAACTTTTAGCCCTGCTCTTTTTTCATAAGACAATGCTAAGTCATTATAGGAATATGGGGTCGGTGTATGCAAGTTGAATATATGGTCTTTGTGTGGTAGTAATTAATACATATGCTATATCATTTCAAATGTGTGAGAAATAATCAACATATATGCTACATCATTTTATTTTATAATGTTTGGATCCGATTTGGATGCTTAGCTCTCATATTCTTCTTCTACAGTTTACTCCAACATACATTTATGGCATCTTTTGTTTAGTAGACCGTTAAAATATATGCAATAAATCAGCTCATTATCTCATTTGTAAGAAGTAGTCCGTGTCAGTCAATAAAATGAATTGATATAGCATATGGGCATGTATAACTCTCTCATATTGAGTTCGATATGATAACTAATAGGTTGGGAATTGAAATAAAAATATTATGTATGCTTCACCTGCTCCTTCACATAAACTTCTTCTGTACATGCTTATATATTGTCACTTATTTTTCTCTCTCATCAAAATTAAAGATTTAAACGGGCAAGACAAGAAAAAGTGGAGCTTCTGCAATGTGGGAAAGAGATACAAAGAAAATATGTTGTGATCTCCATTTAAAGGAATTTGAAATGGCAAGTAGGCCCTCGTGTTTTTCAACAAAGAAAAATGACAGAACATTTTAAAAAATATATTTGTGAGGCATCCTACAACATTTGACATTGATTTTAATTTTGCTAACAAAAATCAATCAACTGATCCTCCTCAAGTATATGACTATCGCTTGGGGGAGTCAATATTACCAAATGATTTTAAAACATGTAACTCTTGCACGCAGGATGAAAAAGGTGTTAGAGATATGATTCAGTTGCGAGAGCAGATTACAAATAAATTAGTTAATAAGTGATGATTGTACGTTATTATATAAGGACATAAGATTAATCTCTTCATGTTGACTCTCTCTTCGATGATATTTACGTGAAACATTTAATAATTTCTTGTGTTATTTTTTTTTGTTTTATTAGCATGTTGTATTTTATCCCACTTAGATGGCCTCCAAGGCAACTGTGAGTGTGATTTAAGTTTTTTTTTTTTAATTACATGTTTTTTTATTTGGAGGTTTTTTTTATGTTGCTATACTTTTTGACATGTATGAGTTCGGTCTAAGGCAACCAAGATCCCATTCTTTTTCAAACATACGACTATAAGGGTTCCTCTGGAGGGCCTCTGTGACACTATGCATCTGCGACGTACGTGTTTAGTATTACGTGGTTAAAGACAACCAAGTTTCCCATTTTTTAGGTCTTCAATCTTCTTATAATGATAGATTATTCCTTAATTTATATTTGTTCTGAGATCTCACTTTTTCATAAATCTTTATCGTTGTATCCTTTGTTATTCTTATTAGTTAATTTATCTTATAACTTTATTATTGTACTATTAAAAGAAGCTAATTTTATGTTTGGAATTTTCTCATTTTAAGAAATATAATCTTGAGGGCTTTTGCTGCTTCCAGAAACTTGTACTGCATAAGCTGATTGCAATATTGCATACTTACATCACAAAGAGTACGTGATTATCAAAGAGAATTTTATAAGTGTACAAGGAATAGATCAGAAGTAGACTGCAACTTCTTTAAGTGGATTAATTGGTTCGCAGAGTCTACTTTAGATAGTCATCGCGCATAGAGTTAAAATTTTCCTGTATAATTGATTGTTTGGATTTTAAGAGTAATATTACAATAATATTACTTTCTGTTCTTGTATTTTTATTTTTTATTTTGATTGTTGTGTTCTTTTGTTACTCGTTGTTAAATGAGATATAACTTTTAGATGTAATATTTGAAGTTATATTTTTTTTTTTGAATTTCTGAATTTATTATTTGTTTTCATGTATAAGTTATTAATTCTGAAATTGTTATCTTACAAACAACACAAGTATACAAGGTAATACCGTCTTTTTTCATAAACAATTGCAACACAGTTGATGCACAACTGAACTAATCAAACAGACACAACTTCACCAAAAATAACTACTGCGCAACAGTTTTTTTAAACAGCTACAGCTGCCACAAACATGCTCCAAAATACCACTTAACACACTTTAAAGTGCCAGACATATGAAAGAGCTTATATGCGCATACTGAAGCATGAGATGTATAAGAAAAGCATTTAAATATCTATGCTTCATAGACTATAATGCATTTTTCATGTATTTTGAAACTAACAAAAAACCCCGAAAAAATCATAAAAATCTAGAGTTATTTTCATAGCTTTAATGGAATTGATATTGAACCGGACAAAGTATTTTGGACAGACTTAATATCTATTTTAAATTTTTTCTCACATTTATATGTTCTTTAAATTTTATTCTTAAAAGCTAAAAATTCTACAATTTTGCTAAATATTCTCCTTTCTATTAGCATGACCTAAGGAAAACCATTTTTATTAATAATAATTTCCTAGCATTTATCTCAACATAATCAAAAGTCTACCCTGACTACACATTTTGTTTTAAAATTTCATAGAAATACTTCAATTTCTATGATTATATAAAATCATAAGCCCATACATAATACATGTCATTGGAATTGTTACCATGCAATATATTCCCATACTTCAATTTTCAATCATAAGCCCATACTTCAATTTTCAACATATTCTTCGTCTTCTCGAATAATTGCAAAATTTTGACATTTTTGACTAATTATATTTTAATCCCCATAAAAAATATGTGAATTAGAAAACTAAAATTCAAATCCTAGATAGCATTTCTCTAAATATCATACCCTAAGCCTCACCTCATAAATTCATTTATTCATATAAGGACTTATCCAGATAACTCTTCTTCCCTATGCATAGTCAATTGATCATCGCCCAAGCTTTATCTTTTGAAGTCCTCTTCATACAGACTAGATCTATGGACTGATGGTCCTTTTTGGTCTAGATTAATGCACGCAAGCTAGTGAAAAATTAAAATTTGTGGCATATTAAATAAATGGATTGTAAAGGATGAAGAAACTTGTGGCATATTAAATTCCATGAAAAATACATTCAAATAAGTGGCACTAGTGAAAAATTAAGATTTATGGTTATATCAATAAACAAGACTAGCTCTAAGGTAACATAATTTTACAACACGTCAGAAACTAATTAAGATATGCAGGTTGTCACGTTTTCTAGGGAGCAATACCGCCAGGAAAATTGCAGGAACCATACCAAGTCAACTTCATGAATATAATAACATTTATGATGATATAGTTATATTTGTTATTTCTTCCTAAATTGCCACAGTAAACTATAATCAAACGTCAACAAAAAAAGGTGAAGCAAAATGAATCCTTAAGCTCAAAATAACATCAAGTTACTCAAAAAACAACAAAATGATCAATTTTTAGCCACAACAAATATTAATAACAGAAAAAGAAAATAGACCTTATCCCGCCTTTTCCTCTTGCAATATGATGTAAAGCCCTCAGTTATGAACTGTGAGAAATGATCCCTTTCCCTTTCCTACAGTAAGAAAAAGATTATTCTCACTATCTTTCAAGATCAACAGAAACAAAGAGCACAAAACTAGTATTAAGTTATGCCACCATGTCTAAAGAAAGAGCATAACAAGCACTGTGAGATGGTTAGCAGGCCAATTAGACGATGAGATCGTTTCTTCTTCTGCATTGGCAACCGACTACAAAGATACATCAAAATACCAAAAAAATCCTAAATGCACCACAAAACAATAAGCATGGAGCTAATAAACCAATCATACAGACTTGTCCAGATAAAACAGTTTTACAAGTCTATCTCAAAGTACATATACGAAAAAGGTAAGATCATACATCCCACCCAATCCCTATGTATAAACACGTCTAACATGTAAAGTTTACATTTATAACACCAAAATCTTTCATATCACATCAAAAATACAACCATTTTGACTTCTAAAAAGTGAAATGCATCTTTTTATGCATGGGTAAGTTGACATGTATGTAAAAATTGAAGTTTAGGTATTAGAAATGTAAATAAATAAGAATTGAGTGTCATTTATGTAAATCTTCCTTAAAAAAATACATAAACATGTATGTAAACATTAAACAACTCCATTTTAAAAATTGAGAAGGCGACCTCGACCCCGCCGACTGCGAGTTTTTCCCGAGACTACAGCTCAAAATTCATCATTAGAACATATTTAACGAAAAGTATGAGTGATAGAAGAATGTAACCTTGCAACTTAGAGAATGCAGCTACATGAACATGCAATCATGTCAAAATAATTCTTGCAGTTATCTTAAAGTGTAAGCAAGATCTAGTTTCAGAAAAAGCTTTTAGAATAACTGACAGATCATTTGAATTAAAAAGTAATAAAAAGGTCAACATATACCATGTAATCAATGCACATCTGCCGGGCTAAATCATAAGCTTCAGGATCACCATAAACTTGGTCAGCAACTGCTCGAAATAAACAATTACCATCTTCCACCATCTTCTTAACATCAAAACCCTTCACCCGCCTGATTTCAATTTCAAAAAGTCGCTCTCTTTCCTGCAAGGGGAATTATGTATATTCTGCAACTTAAAACAATTAAAGTTTCTATGATTCGCTTCAATATAAATTTGAAATAGAAAAACCAAGCAGCAGTACAATAAAAATGGGATAAAAAGAGATGCACATTATAAAGTTGCTTTTTCAAACAAACAGTTCACAGAATCACATGATATTTCTAGTCTAAGAAACAGCTAAACCATTCAAATTCGCCGTGATAACACCACAATTTATAATAAATGCTTTTATATCACGGAAGTTTTTTAAGAAATCTTGAGATCAAGGCCAAAGTTCAGCCAAGCATATATAGAAATTCATTATTTCTGTTCTCCAACAACCTTTTATGATACCATGCCTATTAACATTTACGATGAGTCGGTGAACTTAAAATAATGAATAATTCAAATTTCAGGTAAGATATTGAGCATATGAAACAAATGGTAAAGATTTATCATAGATGATAACAAACAGTAGAATTAACATATGAAGATTGCTTAGAATATGCATAATGAGAAAATGACCATTAGGCACTTTTAACTCTCACATTATAATGAACACTAGAAGGACTTCTACATTACAGATTTAAACATCATCACAAACGTGAAGGTGCATTAATATTGCTGATGGTAACTTGTCTTAAAATACATATAGTATTGAGCACATATGTTTAGAGTGAAGCTACATAACTCCAATTAAACAACTCCATTATTCAAAGAAAATGGGGCAGAAATCACACAAATAAAAACCAAAAAGAAAGAGGATATGAAACTTTTGAGAATAAAACAAAATTTTGCTTAAACTTGCCATAACAGCATCGGCTAAAATCGGTGGATAAGGATATCCAAAAACATGTTCAAGCTATGATGCACAAAAATAGGCATTAAAAAAAGTGATACATCAGATTTTAAATATAAAATTCCAATATGCCTTGCAAAAGTGATCAGCATGTCACATTAACACCCAACGACATAAGCACACATACACACATATGGGCATCTGTTTTTTCAAAACAGTGAGCACAATGAGTATGTAAGGGTGCCTTTTTTCATTAATGCATAAAGCGCAGTACATAATGTCCATGACTCATATATTATATATGCATGTATTATGAGCATACAACAATCATTTAATTAGAAAAAATAATTCATACTAGATAATAATTTTTAGTAAATATAATTGTATGTTTAATAACAATAATTTTTCGCCATACAAAAGCAAAAAAATAATAGAATTAAATAATAAAGTGATGAAATAATAGTTAAAAATCAACAATATCTATGTGATTTAGGGACCAACTAGAGGGTGAGAGATTGAGGCTTTCTAAAATGACAAATGATGCTAAGTTGAAGCCACAAAAAATATTCTCAAGGAAATAAAATAAAATAAAGGAGCAATGAAGCCAAAGGTAGTGCCCAACCATTGCAGCAAATGCTGAACTAAATCATAAAATATCCAAAAATTTGTTTTGTAAAGTGGCTAAGAGCGCACAGCTATGACACAGCACAGTGGAACGGCACAAAATGAGAACTTCTCGTAAGCTTGCGCTTAATAGGTATGCAATGCATAGGGCTAATGCATCTCTTCACTTGGCTCCTAAAATGAGCTTTAAAGCACACTTTTAACAGCACTAGTATACATATCTATATATGGTTGCATATAAATGAAAAAAGAAAACAATAGTTTACAATAGCATTTACAAGCACAAAACTTATAGGATATGTTTGGTTGCAAGTATTTCAAATTTCGATATATTCAAAATACAATACAAAGTAAAACTATGCATTGAAATAATTTATCAGTGTTTGATGTCTTATAAAAAAATATGTGTTTAATATTTTGTTTTGATTCCTTGCCAAGTAAAATCTATACTTGAAATACCGCAGCAACTGATGATGGTAGCTGCAAGCAAAGGCTAATGGTGGTGGCAACTGACAGCACAATAATGACAGTGACTATAATGTTAGGTGCGATAGTCAGGGGGTTGAAGTTTCACTTTTTAACATATTTAAAATTTGCACAAATAGGCAAAATTCCGAAATAAGCCATACTAAAGTTATATCCAAATTGATCAGTAAGATCAGGGTTAACAAGCTACAACCTTACTTATTCAAATATATTAATATATTACTCTGCATTTATTTTTTAACCGATCAAGCCCCTCTCCTGCATTTAATATATTTTACACTGCCAATATTTGCAACCAAATGCTTCCCACACCACCCAGCCTTAAGAAAAAGAAAAGGAAACAGAGTAAGATAGTAAAGAATAGCAAAAACGATCACTTGAGGGAAAAAAAAAAAGATTGCGCCTAGCCTAAGGTTATGTCCAATTGCAAACCATACATTCCCATCCCATGTTAAAATGATTATAATAAAAGTCAAAAATAGTTAAGAGAACCATAAAAAGGGGCTTCAGATGATGCAACCAACATGGCATCCTAAATCATGTGTGTTCAAATTGTTGCTCTAGTGTTCAACCATGTGCAACAGTGGAACATCCTTGTTTTTAAAGAACTGTCCAAAAACAAAATCACTTTGACAGGAAAAAAAAAGGTAGTGCTTCCATAGGGTATGACAATGTGTAGGCCATAAATGTCCATCCCCTAAAAATCATTCAAACAAATACACGTAAAATTAGAGGCCCAAAACAAATGTCATGAAACAGATATTGTTCATGCATAAAAAAAACCCAAAATTAACAATCAGGGTAAAAAATAGCATTAGCATGCTATACATTGTCGATGAAAGGTAACATAGCTGAAAAAGATACGTGATGCAGTTAAGATCACAGATTATGCCGATTTAAGAAGAAGAATAAGATTTAGCTTCAAAGAAATTTTCTGCTGATCGATAAAATATTCCAAATAAAATGTCATACCACATCATTATATTGGGAGGTAAAACAAGGACCCTGTTCATCTGCACTATTGTACCCTTCACCATCTGCGTATGATCTAGGAGAAGAAGGCAGAGAGCCTGAAGGTGATGACCATGTAGAAACCACAGGACGTGCGGCTTGTCTTCTAGAACCAATAGTCACAGCATTAGAGAACTTAAGCCCTGATCTTCTTAAGCCACTAATTGGTGATGATGGCTTTGGAGGTGGGACAGGAGGAGGAGGGGGATTAGACCCACCAATAAGCAATTGAGAGGGCCCAACACCCACAATAACAGAATCATCACTTTCAACCTTTTCAGTTAAATGAAGCCCCCCTGAGCCCCTTACTTGAACAGCAGACTCAACAGTTTCCTCAATACAAGGTTTTCTGTTCTCAACTTCTTCAATGTTCGTAACATCGACTCTACTTCCCTGCGAAGTTTCAGTTGGAATCTCATTACCACTAGCGACTTTCTCATCAATACCAACGCAATGCTGTATATGGTCATCCAGACCACGAGTGTCCTGATTCTGCTCCTTCTCCTGTTCCTCCTTATCACTTGACGCAGACTGTGACGCAGAAGGTGGTGGAACTGAACTCGAAGACGGGCGATTTTGGTTTGTAGAAGAGCTCCCTGAGCCCCGTTGCACCACGATACGAGTCATCCTGCTCTACAGCAACACCACCACACCGTCCTTTATTTATTTCTCCACTTTCGTACCCGGTTCACGCAAATCAGAGGTCCCAAACAAAGCCCACAGGTTTATCACGTGTTCTAGCTTTGGGCGCGGTGATCCCAATTCCTTTGCAGAACAATTCCTTCCAACCCTGTACGATCTCCTCCCCACAGGCCGATTTCTGCATCCCCCTAACAATTCTCATGAGAACCAAACCCTCAACTTCGACACAGAGCACCAAGAAGAAACCCTTGCCTAAACCCAAATCCAGCTCAAGCTATACGATAACTAATCCCCTACCAAAAACCCAACAATCATAAATCCCACCGAAATAAAAACCAAATTCCCCATAAAAAAAAAGTGCAAAGAATCGTCCACAAACCCTAAAAAAAAAAAAATCTATAGAATCAAAGAAGCGACGAAAGATTACCTCGAGCGTACCGCTTAGAATCAAAGATCCGATGAACTGATCGAACGATGAATCCAAGGAAATCGCTAGGGTTTACGGATATTAAAAAGGCGAGAGTGAATTATGCTCGGGTGCTTTCCACTGGTAGTAAAATGGAATTCTTGAGAGGCGCCGAACGCATTAACCGAAGCAAAGCGCCACACGTGTGCGGATTTCCAGCGGCTTCTCTGCCGCCAACTATTGGCTGGTGGCGCACGTGAGCTAGTGACGTGGCGTCTAAGGGTCCGTTTGGGGCAGCTTATAAGTGTGGGCGGCGTTTTCAAATGCCGCCGTACTGTTTGGTTAACACATTTCACCAGCTTATTCGAAACTGCGTTTGAGTTTTTACATTAAACGCAGACCGCAAGTTGACTCCTGCGGTCGGCCCGCGGGCCGCGTTTTAGGATAAGCAGCTTATCCTGAAACGCATAAGCTGCCCCAAACAGACCTTAAATGAAAATCAACATTTACATAAATACCACTATATCTATGAAATGTATAATACTATAATCTGAATAAATTTTAGACATATTTATTCTATAATATTTAATAATATTAATGACTTTTTATGTGAAATTTGAAGAAAAATATATTAATAAGATTACTTTTCAATAAATTTTAGGTAATAATTTATCTCTTATCATATTGATATGAAATAACACGTTTCAATAAGACGAGTTGTATTGAGTTGAAATGAACAAGTAAAGTATGAGTCAAAATTTTCGATTAAATTTTTTTGAGGCATGTTAATCGTTCGCTCATGCTCAGCTCGTTCAAAATTTTTTATGTTCAAAATTAAGCTCGTATTCAAAACAGTTCTTTAATAGTCATGTTTGTATTTGATTTGATTTAAATTCAAATTAGCTTGAATTTAAAGCTATTCAAACTTACTCTAAATTTTTATTATTATTAAATATTTCTCAAAATATGAGAAATAAAAATTAATTAATTTTTTTATAATTCCATGACGTGGGATTAAGTTAGTGAGTACGAGAGACACATGAGGGCTACATAATTACAACACACTTTATATGAATATTTACATATTAAATAATTTTTTATATGAATATTTACATATTAAATTTTTTTTTTCTTTTGTTTTATGTAGCAGGGCTTAGCCAAAATTAATTCTTATGTATTTATATGATTCAATATGAGAATTTTATTTTTTATTTTAAATCCTAATATATTTTTTTTTTATTTTAAATAAAAATTTTTCTACATTAAATTTCCTATTTTTAATAGTATTATCCTTTATACTGAGGAGTGAATTAATAGTTTTAATAATTATATGCATCCAAATATTATAAGATGAAAAGTAATAGCTGATATTAATAAATTTTATGTGCATTATTTATTTGGGCAGTTACATACACAGCAGTAATGAAAAAATATTAAATCAGGTCTCCGCACGTGGAATTACGTGAGTCCAATGAAATCACGCCACACACGTGAAGGCGAGAAAAAAACATCAGTCCGGTGACACGAAAATATTCCTCCTGTGTTATTCAGGTGTTATTATTTGCGATTCAAGTGTTATTGATGTGTTATTGTGTTATTATTACACCATGATTATTCCCATAACACAATAACACATGAATAACATACAATAACACCTGAATAACATGGGAGAACAGTCCTTTGTGTTACCTGTGTTATCGGGAATATTCTCTGTGGCGTGATTTCATTGGACTTCGCACGTAACTCTACGTGCGGAGTACTGATGGTAATAGCCATCTCTTTCATCTATTTTTTTAAAATTCTCACCCAAAGATCTAAATTGAAAATAAAACTCCAAACCATATTTTTCATATTTACCAAATTCTAAGGAAACAACACATTTTCATTATAGAATAATTACCAATAATAAAAAGGATTAAACTAAAAATTCACAAAAAAGCCAAATGGGCGAAAGAAGAATATGAATGCTAACAACACAAGTCTGCAGTGCTGAACTGAAACAGCTGATCCATTTCCTCAGATTCAATCTAAACAGCAGATTTTACAAATTAATTTTTCTTCGTTTCAGAAAGAAGAAATCCCCTTCCCTTTTCTCCACAACAACTGTTATAACAATCACCCCCTTCCACTCCACATCAAGGCTCCATTAATCTCTCCCATCGAAGCTCTGCCGCATCAGTTTCAGGCTGAAAAAATGGAAGAAATCCCAAAAGAAAGGATAAAGAAACTGAACTCAATTCAACCCTCCATTTGCTACATTACAATCAAAGCCGGCGTTCGATTGGGTCGAAGAAGCCTCGAAGCCACGGCCATTGGCCTTTGTGGAGGACGGTTGATGTTCGTCGGCGGTCGTGTTACCGGCAGGAGAAAAGATGACGGTGATTTTGTCGGAATGGGTGTGCTGTTCTTGCCGCAAAGCTTCGATTTGATGAAGAGCGGGCGAGTCGCCTCGGCAGTATCGGTGCCACATATTCCGATACAAGGACTCCAACTTCTTGGTGAAATTTGAACCGTCACAGAGGGGAGACTTGAGCATGAGTTCGCGGAGCGATATTCTCAGCTCAGACAGGGAGGCGACGTTTGATGCGAGCTTCACTGCCATGCGGACGTACTCGTCTTCCGTTTTCGCAACTAGATGTGCTAATCCTGCAGTTAGCAGTTAAGTCAGGGGGTTTGGTTATTTGTTGTGCTATGAATGGAACAAACAGATGCAACAGTGGAGAAGAACAGGTCATATAATTCAGCATAACTTGCATATGAATTGATTGAGCATAAAAGCTTGTGATGGGAAAGACGAAGTGGGGTTTGTTTGGGTAAAGCTTTCTCAATGTTTTATTTTAGGGGCATTTACATTTATATCACCCAATTCTTATGCATTGACATATCCAACACCTTCATATCACAAAAAAAAAGGCAGTTTACATACATAGCACCCGAAACATTGCTATTTACAAATCTAGCAACCACTTTCATCCATTTTTTCAAGTTCTCACTCAAATACCAAATTTTCAATGATTTGATCGTGGCACATGTAAATAGTTCGGTGGTTCAAAAATCTCACCTAGATGCCCAGCTTTGTAAATGACAATGCTTCGGGTGCTTTGTAAGTAATTATCCCCACAAAAAAAAAAGAACTTTTAATTTTTTAAAAGTGATATATCTTTTCATGCATAGGTACGGTAGTATGTAAGTAGAAAATTGAAGTTTAGGTGTCGGATATGTGAATACATGAGAATTAAGTGGTGTGTATGTAAATCTTCATTTATTATAAGTAAAAACATAAAACAAAAATAAACAAAAATAAAGTAAAAGTGATCCCAAAGAGCCATCAAGTTTTCCACAAAAATTGAAGTTTCACTTACCAACATTGCTAAGAAGGCTGACACCAACATTATGAGCATGTACAGATCCAGCCAAAGTGACACAGGGAACACCCATGTACAAAGATTCGCAGGTAGTCGTTGTCCCCGCATAAGGAAATGTATCTAAGCTGCAGAGGATGGAAAACAATGATACAGCTGATCTGACAATGGGTTTTAAAAGACAGGATTGAACAGAAAAAGAAGGGGCATTTACATGCATGGCACCTAAATCTGTATTTACATATCTAACTTCTAAACTTTGTTTTTTTACATTTATACCACATAAAAATTACCACAATTTTAACTATTAAAATATCAAATACACATTTTTATGCACAGGTAAGATGGCATAAATTTGAAAATTGAAGTTTAGGTGTTACATGTGTAAATACATAGGAATTGTGCGGCATGTATGTAAATCTTTCAAAAAATAATAATGAACACTTTTGTGAAGTTTAAAATATGCAGATGGCTACTCCATACAGCATAGCGCACAATTTTACTCATCATATGAAGCTGATGATCCACAAATTAGACCTAAATGTAACAGTAATGAAAATGAAGACAAATATGGGTATAATTTTTTTTTAAAAAAGAGAATGACTAATACAAATTACCACATTGGATACGCATTAAAATAATATCATCGTAGGTTAGGATGAAAGAAAAAAAAGAAAATTTACATACATACCGCACAGTTCTTATGTATTTACAATCTAACACTTAAAAAGTTTGATGCTTGCATTTATAGCATTTTAATATTAAAAACCTATGCACAAAAATTGATAATGAATGATTTGCATGGTAGATATGTAAATACAATAGGATGGCATGGTATGTATGTAAATGCCCATAGAAGACAAAAAAGATGCACAGATATTGAAGAAAGAGAAAGGGGGTCATTGGTAATGTTAAGATGCAAAACAAATGTAAAAAAAAAGTGAAGTAGGAGATGTTGAGCTTCATGGAAATGGATGGCGAAGTAAGAAGAAAGGCTACCTTAGGATCTAATTGAGACTGAATGTATTAAATCCAAACTTTACAAATCTCCCCTGGCATGTACTTGGCAGCTTGAAATCGTATATGGCATCATATATGATGTGTTTTTGTCCAATATAAGAGTTGGAAACGGCTGAGACATGGACATATATGCAAAAACTTTTGTGGGGATGATGATCACAATGTCAAATATGTTGGGTTTAATTAATGATACATCAATATGTCCATATCTTAAATTGCTATTTTGAAGATTATTTACTCCCTTTTAGGTATTAGCAATTTGTATGGATAAAGCAAAATTGATATTTAATCGAGGTTCTTAAAAAATTTGCACAAGAAAATTAAAAGTACAATTATTGAAAAAGAAAGGGTATAGGCTGAATGAAAATTATGGATATAGGCTGAAAGAAAATAAGGCAAGAGGAGAGAATAAAGAAATATTCTAAGAAGTTTTTCACATAATTCTTCTTTTATTAAGGGGGCAGGATACCTATGAGGGCATTAACAGAATATTTTCTTAATTTTACTATTCTCATCTTCAATTTGATTCGGGATAGCTTATGAACGCCATAGTTTTTCTCTGTCAATCTGCTCCTCCAACTTTTCATATAAGAGAGTAGGGGTGTAAACGAGCCGAACACGAGCAAGCCATGCTCAGCTCGTTTTCGGCTCGTTTATATTTCGAGCTCAAAAAGTGTGTTCGTGTTCCGCTCGTTTATATTTCGAGCTCAAAAAGTGTGTTTGTGTTCAGCTCGTTTGCTTAAAGAGCCGAACACGAGTTGTTTACGAACAAAGAGTCTTTTTAACAACCCTATTCATATAGTCATAAGACATAAACAATAAGGGTTTGAGCAAGATTTAAAAATTATTATTTATATTAAAACATCATTTGAATCAATATTTTAATTGATTATAAATCTTTGTAGCCTTGTAGTCAATTAGATTTTTTTAAAATACTACTTATATATATATATAAACTTGAAGAGTAGCATTTCGAGCCAAAACGAGCCGAACACGAACGAACACATCTTAGTTCGTGTTCAACTCGTTAACTTATCGAACAAAATTAATGAGCCGAACACGAGCTTCTTAACGAGTCGAACAAGAACTGTTCGCGAACAACGAGCCTTTTTGACAGCCATATAAGAGAGGATTCAACTAGGAGAAATAAGTTGAAGAGAAGTTCAGAAGATTCTAGAAAGGAAAGACGACGGAGATGTCCCTTTAATGCAGAGGCAAAGTAGAAGCTGCCTTCAACAATATCATCAAATTTAAGATAATTAAAAATTGCTTCAGACTTCTAGGAATTTATTTTATGGTTTATGATTACTTTGATACAAGGAAATAAAAATTTTGCTGAATGAAAAATCCGTATTCATGATATATATAATTGAAATTTATGAAAAAATTCACAAAGAACTAAACCGCTTAGTTGTTTTAATTCCAAAGTAGCAGTTCACGACTTTCATCCGGTCATTTGTTTGTGGATGCGCTGCAAAACTGAGCTAGAACTTTAATACCCAGCTTACTCCATGGAATCTTCTAGAGATATCTTAGACTCCTCATATCTGTCTAAAGCGATGATTGTGGGCTCCGAAAATTCACGTCGTAAACTCTGTCATTGAGAGGGCTTTATAGATGATATTATTGGTCAAATTTTCACAATGTAGATTGACTTGCAGATAAGATACTACCCAGAGATTTCACCATAATTTTTGGAGGACTTTCAAATTTGAGGTTTGAGGTTTTCCATAGGTTCAAGCCCCTATAGATAATTTGCAGTTCAACGCTCTCATCTGGTCATCTGATTGTGGATGTGTTGCTAAACTGAGTTGGAACTTTAATACCCAACTTACTCCATGGAATCTTCTAGAGATATCTTAGACTCCTCTTCTCTTTCTAAAGTGATGATTGTGGGCTCCATAAATTCGTGTAGATCAAGCATTGAGAGGGCTTTATATATGATATTCTAGGTTAAATTTTCATAATCAGATTGACTCGTAGATAAGATGCTACCCACAGATTTCACTCTCTTTTTATGAGGACTTTCAGATCTACGGTTTGAGGTTTTCCATACATGCAGACCACTATAGATAATCCCCCCCCCCCAACAACATGAGAGCACTTTTGATTGAGACTGATCATTAAGCATAGAATTTTCATTATATAGTTGCAACAAACTTAAAAGGCTTATTCTATAAAATTTTATTCCCTTGAGATTAAAACAAATTGTGGCAAAAATGAGGATCAAAATCTCATGGTTCCATTGTTTAGGATCGTCGTGGTCTCGATCTATTTACCAGAGGAGGTAGTCGACCAAACTTGATTGAAGAATTTTTGCTAACAACCATAGGCTGCGTCGTCTAAAGAACTCTTGTAGATCTTGGGTGGAATTTTATGAAAGGGGCAAGTTTAAGCAACATTGGTTATCAAAAGGCCTTGTGACAATCGAATATACTCTTATGTTTCACAACTCAAACGATTAAAAAACCATTGAAGAAGATACGGGTCATGGTCATGACCGTAATATAATGGTGTAATTTGGCTAGAACCACCAGATTAGAGAGATATGGTAACAACAACTACTTTTGTAGAGTCTCTTAGTCAAACCACTTGAACAGAGGACTCAAGCCATGTCCTTACTGGCGTAAAATTTCTTTGAGAGTGAATATAACAATACACTCAAAATGACAATCATTTTTTTTTTGTAACCTGAAGTCAATCAAAACTTTATCACCTTCATCAAATGAGATTTGCTTTGTTACTTTCAAAATTTGCTTCAAGTCTTTCGGCAATTTAATTTAAGCTAAAAGATGCTTTGCTTTGTTACTTTGAAAATTTGACTTGAAAATATTATTTGAAAAGTTAAACCATTTGGTTGAAATCTTCAACACGGGCATAATCGAGGAATTTTGGAATTTGAAACATTTAGGTTTGAAATTCATTTGAAATCTGACAATTGAATATTCATAAAATGTTAGTTTTGTCAACTTCAATCCTTGTGAGGAGTTGAACCTTAACCGGCCTTCCTTTTCGAGAATATCCCAACATAAGGGCCAGTGCATCTCTTCAATTGGTACTTGTGGATGTCTTTTTTTCCCTTTTTCATACATACGATGGTTGGCCGCTGCTAGGATCCCTTCATTAGCTCTCTACTCCTTAGTTGTCGGATCTAGTAGTAGGTCTACCCGAAGACCGATTTCTTGAGTTTTTTTTCTCTTGGCCGCTGGAAAACCTTTCGATCTGGAGGATCAAACTACGTGAGTTAGACTAGCAAATTTTTATATTTGTTATTAAAACATTATTAAAAATACTAGACTCATCAACTTTGGTTCTTAAGAAGAGGATGATCGGACTAGCTGAGTGTGACTTACACCCCTGCACAATAGACAAATGCAGACTGATTGGGAGTATACGTAGTTTAATTACCTTGGATTTGATTTTTTTTTTTAACATGAGGGGTCTCAACTTTAAAGTAATTATAGATATTCTTCTAAAAAATGTGCACGTTAATCAAAGCAAGAACTATTTGAGTAAACATTTAGCTTTAACCCACTCAACATTCTCAGACCATTTAAGTTGAGGCATTTAGTTGATTTAGTGGAGAATGAGTTGGTTTTTAAACTTGATTATAAGTTAGCTCACACATTATTCTCAAATCTTGTTATTTAAAGTTTAACATTCAGATCGAAGCACATTTGAGTGAGATTTTACATATTTGACTAATTTCAATAATTTCATAGGCTTTAAGCAACAAGTATGATTTTTTAAAATACAAATTTGATATGAAATTTATATAAAGAGGCACATCCAAGATTTTGAATGTGTGTATAATTGACTCATTTTATAAGCATCTTAAAAATCTTAAACTCGAGAGCATTACCTTTTTATTCATGTAAGTCTTAAAAGCACACGCATAGATTCGAAAATATTGCTTGACTTAAGAAATAACCTTAAAGTTTGTATACCAAAAATCATTTAGAATTTAAAATATTTGCAGAAATATTGTGATTTTGTATTACAAAATATTTTGTATTACAAAATTTCATTTCATTTTTTTTTTTTTTTGGTCCAAAAAAGAAATCGCCTTCTATTTGCTAGCAAGTAACATTGTGAATTCGGTTGTGAAAATACATATTAAGTTTTTATTTTAGGACTTAAAAATATGACTTTTATTTCTTAAGCTTAGCCTCAATTATGTAAAGTTATTTTGCATGTGCAAATATTCCATGATTTGGCCAAAAAAACAAATGATTCAAGCCTAAGAGCTAAAACTTGAATTATTTTCCAACTTCAAAAGGCCCAAATTTAAATGAATTGTTAAGCATGAGGGCCTAAGTTTTAAAAGTTTCAAGTCTGAGTGAGTAAGTTTTAAAAGCCCAAATTTACATTAATTTTTAAGCTTGAAAGCCTAAGTTTGAAAAGCCCAAATTTGGATCAATTTTCAAGCCTAAGAGCCTAAGTTTAAAAAAGCCCGCATTTGAATCAATGTTCAAATTTAAGAGACTAAGTTTGAAAAAGATCAAATTTATGAGTTGGCACCTCTCAATCCCGATAACACAATCGCATAACTCATCGACCTAGGGAAATGCAGGATTCTACAATACCATGGAAATGTGGTACTAACACCGGCATCAATAAGGGCTTGTTCAATTTTAAATCTACCGCAAATCGTTGAACAAGCCAAAACTTCTAATTGAGCCCTTTAAGGAAAGGGGAAGCTGTTCGCAATGTGCAGAAACATTAATTAGCGATAAGAAAAACCAATGCATGATAATTCATTCTTCGATATTAATTTCACTCTTGAAAGGTCCTTGCATGCTTCTTAATTGTTTTCTATGGTAAGCCTAAATTGCATGCATAATAGTTCAGATGTATTTTACTTTCTGTAAGTTAAAATGGCGTTATTTTTTATGTGATATGATGGATTTGTGTGGTATAGATGTTAAAAAATGATGCTTAGGCGTTAGATATGTAAATACATATGATATGGACGGCATGTACGTAAATGCCCATTAAAAAATGACAATAACTCCCATCCTTCCATGCATGACAGTAAACACTCGCTGTGAACAGAATGCCAAAGCCAGAAAAGAATAACGAAAATTACCTGATATCCATTAGTGAATATGCTTGCATGTGGTCATGATTTAGAAGAATTAAAGGTAAGAGGTCTACACGCAAAGGCTCAACACCTAGTTGCTCCAGTATTGAGAGGAACCTCTGCCTGATACTATCACAGCAAAATGGCTTACACTTCACAATCAACCTTGAGTTTGGGACCGCACATAATATCTTTGCCCAAACTCTTAATACTTTGGGTGTTATCTGTAAAATGATTGAGTTAATAAGTTAAAAATGATATAAATACGAGGGGAGCCACAGTTGAGATCAGCACCTTCGCTAAATTATTAAAGCTCCCAAATGTAATAAAACCATTTACAAGAGCAGGGGTAGGGGATACAACGCCAGCTTCAGGGGAAGGCATATAGCAAAGAAAGCATTCGGATAGCCGAACCAATTCTTCAACTTGCCTGTCAAACAGTATAATTATCACAATCATGAGGAAATCAGGCAGGAAATTGAAACAAGATTATTTCTAAATTACAAACTCACTTCTGACGGGTATTGGGTGGATCTGCAAATGAGTCTGAAATTCTATAATCAATGGAAGGTAAACCAGACGTATTTGGATATCCAATCCAAGTTACCTAGAGTGGTGATTTTTAGTGCAAAAAAAGGGGACAAAAGGCTTAATAAAGTAGCTGGATAGATAAAAATAGAAAGTGCTACAGAGAAAAAACTATAGAGCAAAGTTAACCAGCTAGTAATACTCAAAAAAATCTGTGCCAAACAGAGTTTAAACTCGTATTGAACTCAACAAAATTGAATGTAAAATAAAAATTTGCCCCAAATCAAAGAGAAAAGACAATGATAATCATATTTGGTGCACCATGGTTATAGGTTATATAATGGAATAAATGCAAAACTGTGACAAATAATGCAGCATGCAGCCCTAAAAAAAACCAACGGATAAGATCAAGGTCAGGCTGTCCAAGGAAAAACCAATAACATACGAGGTAGAAAAATAGACAATCTACCAAAGCAGCTAACGATAAAAATAGTAAACAAACTTCCGAATCATCACCATTCTAGAAACTGAAACCTCAACACCTTTATACAAAGAATGCCCGCTCTAGGATAAATGTGTTAAGATATATCAACAACATTCCTCTAGAAATTTCTGAGGGATTAAACTTTGGGGGGGACTCGATAATTGGCATCGTCGTATTCAAAAAATAAGAAAAAATAATAATTTGTTATAATGGTGAAATCCAACTACCACGGGGAGCTTATTTGGGGCTCCCGCGAGTAAACACTTTGCATGGTAATGTTATTTAAGTTGAAATACAATAAAAAAATAGGAATATTTACAAACATTCTAATCAATTACTATATATTTACAAATGTAACACCAAAATTTTAATTTTTAGATATATGCCACTTTACCAGTAGAAGAAAAAATGTTTCACTTTTAAAAGTCAAAATAGTGGTATTTTTAATGTGATATAAAAGATTTGAGTGATATAAATATAAAAAATTGAAGTTTAGATGTTAGATATGTAAATACATAGGAATTAGGTAAGATGTATGTAAATGGTCCTAAAAAATATCATTGTTCACTTCATGTCCATTAGAGGGGATTCCGCTAATAAATAAATAAAAATCACTGAAATTTGAAGTGCCCATAAGAAAATCATATAAAGATTAAATAAAATATTAAAAAAAATCCTCCACTAGACCAATTTCTTGGTGCAAATAAAGAAAACAAAAAGCACAGAAAATCCATAAAACATTAATGGAGAAAAGCGCAAGTAAAATGCATTTGTTCTGGAAATGAATGCATAACATAATAGAGCTTAAAAAGACTACCTGAACAGGAGCAGGCCTACAAGCCAATGTTCCTAACTTGTTGTTTGCAGTATGGCCAGTGAGCTCGACAAGTATGTCAACCTTATCCTCTCTAACCATGTGTGCAACCTTTTTTTCATCAATACCATATATATCTCTCCATAGGCCACCTTTTTTAAGTACTTTTTCCTTGAATTTGAATGTTTTTGCATCTGCCTACAAGGATTTTCAAAAAGAAACAGAACAATAGAACAGTTGAAGCACCGCAAAAATAACATTTTGATTTTACCAAATTAAACAACGAATTGTATGGGAAAATTACAGGTTACAGAAAAATGTTATCGATATATTTTTCATGCATGTCAAGTCTTGGCACTTCTAAGTTTGATAATTAGCAAGGACAATCTTGAAATATTTTCTAGGATAGAGTTTTGAGTCATTAACAGCACCAAATGTTTTTCATATTTGATTTTTATTTTTTTTTTATGGTTCTTAATTAGTTGGTTTCTAAAACAAGGAATAAGTGTCTTCCCTACAAACAAAACTAGTAAATGATAACTAATTTTTTTTTTAGATGAGTCCATTTTAGGCAGACTTTTCAATGTATTATTAAATTTAATCCCTCAACACCTCAAACTCGTCCAGCAGTCAACTTTCCTGTTTCAATGGAAAGAAATTAGATAAGAGTAGGTTTTCATGAGGGTATTTTAGAATTTTTTGAATCAACCTCACTAATTAAAATTAACACAATTTAATGAGATTGAACCAAAAAAGTATAGAATGCTGTCATGAAAAGCTTCCATCCACGAATTGTCATGGTATGATCAAGTAGATGGTTTCCATGATGAAGTAGATGGAATGATCAAATCGATTTAAATTGATGAGTCGAGAAACTAAATTGAATACTGTTAGAAGTTATATTAGAAAATAATTTATTCCTGTGAGTAAGTTATGAGGAATAAATTATTTCCTTAGATTAGGAGTTATTTCATTTCCTATTTTATATTTACTTGGATTATGAATTATTTTTTTTCCTATTTTAAGCTTTCCTATTTAATGTATTTCTCTTATCTCCTAATAATTAATATGAATTGATTATTGAAGATATTAGATGATATATCTTTCCTTTCATACTAATTCCTTTTTATTATCTTTCCTATTCTAAGATTCATATAAGGCTTATTTATATCCGCTCTCATATCAATGAAAAAATCGTTTTATTATACATTATTCTGAATTTCAACATGGTATCAGAGCCAAATTTCCTACCCTAGTCGTCGGTCCTCCCTCCAGAGCTGTCGAGCTCCCTTCTTGCCATCCTACCTACAAGAAATGAGGGACACTCTCTCCCTACCAAACGCCAGGGGTTTCGTTCTTTTATATAAAAAAGCAGCCCTCGCTCACCTTGATCTTGTTTTTCTCTTTCTACGTTTGTTGGATCTATAGATGATTGTCGGCTTAAGCTCTGGTGATGAGGAGCTGATCACGTAATAGCCTAAATCTAGCTTATTCTCAATAAGAATCTAGTTGTTTACTGCGTCCAAAATCGGCGGATCCAACCGAACCTAAGAAGCGGCGGTTCCTTGTATAGCTTCTGCTATCCTGACAAGCCAGAATGAGTCTTATTTGGGAGAGCGGATTGCTTATATGAAGAACCTAGGCTTTATAGCAGCCAGAAAGTCTCCTCTCCCGCACCCTTTCAACATAATCATCTTTGGCAACCCGAGCCCTTAAGTTAAATTGAAATCCTAGTTTTAGAAGCTGGAAATGCTCATCTGCGTACGATACCAAATCAACAGCTGTTTGAGCGAGCTATGACTTCCACTCTAAAGGCTGCAATGGATTTCAAGAATCTTCTTTCTGACATTATGAAGGAGTGCTTGCAGAACTTGGTGAGGCTAATGAAGCACAAGGGAGGTATGTGGTTTAATTCCCCACTAGATGTGCAGGAGATGGGATTACATGATTACCGACTGATCATTAAGTATCCCATAGACGTTGGGACACTGAGATCCAGGCTTTAAAAATGGCTTCTATAAGACAACATTAGATTTTGCCGAGGACATTAGACTGACCTTTAAGAATGCTCTCATTTATAAAGCAAAAGCTCATGAGGTGCATAAATTGGCAGCACTGCTCTTCCGTCAGTTCAAGGAACAAACTCCTTGGTTTGCTTGCAAAATGACTTTAAAAATAATATTACTAAGGCGAGACTAAATGTATCGATGAATGGAAACCCAACAGCAGATCTACATGCCCCTTTTCGTCGTTTTCTTCCATGCTGGCAAAAGTTTTTTCTAGCAACAGGCTTTCCTCTGAAGCTATTCCTACATCAAGCCCTCCTCCAGAATCCTTCCTGCAGTAGACCCTCTGAAACTTTTCTGCAGCACCATCATCCAGAGCTTTTCCTGTAACAAGTCCACCGAAAATCTTCATGGAGCTGACCCTCTTATGGAGTCTTTCTATGCATCAAACCCTCCTATACTTTTTTCTTGCATCAAGCTATCCTCATAAGTTTTTTTTGTATCGAACCCTTCTCCATGACTTTTTGTCCTATTGGTTGTCTACAGCATTACTTGTAGAAGTCTGTCATCTACCTACAGACACTATAAAAATTGTAGTTAAAGACAACCGCAATCAACTAGAAGTCAGTTTTTTCTTACAAGTTGTCTACTTTCCTACAAACTCTCTAATAACATAACCTATGGGAGTCATCTGTCAACCTACAGACACTGCAAGAACCGCAGTAAAAAACAATCGTAGTTATCTACTTCCTTGTAAACTTCCTTATAGCATTACCTGCATGAATCTCTGCTTACCTACAGACACTGCAAGAACTGCAGTCAACGACGACAACAGTTATTTACGTCCCAGCAAACTCACTTGCAGCATTACCTGTATGAGTTTTTCGCCTACTTACAAACACCGCGGGAATTGCAGTCAAATACAACTACAATACGGGGTGAAGACTTCAAGTTTTACTTCATGTGATCTCCGTCGCCCATTGTTTGATGTTTTTAAATCCAAGTTGAGCATGACTTTCAAACATGTTTCAACTTGAGGGAAAGTGTTAAAAGTTATATTATGAAATATTTATTCTCACGAGAAGTTATGAGGAATAAATTATTTCCTTAGATTAGCAGTTATTTTTTTTCTTGTCATGATTTTTTTCGACAAATTTTACGCTGGTTGTCGACTACCTAACGCAACCATCCACATTTCACATCCGGGCTTGGGACCGGCAATGGTTGTCAACTACCTAATGTTAAAAAAATATATTTTTAATGATCTTTATAATATATTAGATACTAAGGAGGGTGAAAAATATATATATAAACTAGTCAAACAAAGAAAAGAAAAGTAAAAAACTTAACTCAAGTAAAGTATATTAAAGATAAAAATCAAAAAGTGTTTTTCCTAGAAAAAGATATTCAACATAAGTGGGTGAGTTATTTTGATAAACTTTTTAATGAAGTTTCTGAAAATATGATCGACCTTAGTGATCTTAATATCGTGAATAATAATAAAACGTTTCATTTTTACCGTCGCATTACTAAAAAAGAAGTTGGGGAGGTTTTAAAGAAAACCAAGGGTGGAAAGTTTGTAGATTTGGAAAAGTATCATGGTCCCCATTTTTAAGAATAAAGGAGATGCACAAGACTTTGCAAATTATAGAAGAACTAAGTTGATCTGTCGTACTTTAAAATTATGGGAGAGGGTAATTGAACATAGGTTAAGATGTATTACAATAGTTTCTCATAATCAAATTGGATTTATCTCGAGCATGTCTACTATGGAAGCTATACATTCATTGAGAGGATTGAAGGAGAGATTCCGAGATAATAAGGAGGATATAGATATGATTTTTATTAATTTAGAAAATGCTTATGATAAGGTTCCAAGAGATATTCTTAGGAGAGTTCTTGAGAAGAAAGGTGTTGATATGACTAATATTCAAGTCATTAAAGATACGTATACTAGAGTAGTTACTTGTGTTCAAACTGAAGAAGGATTGACCAAATATTATCCTATTTATGTTGCATTACATCAGGGATCGACTTTAAGCCCATATCTTTTGCTTTAGTTATGGATGGTCTTACTGGACAACTACAGAAAGATGTACATTGGTGTACACTTTTTGCCGATGATATCCTTCTTGTGGATAAGACGAGGGAAAAAGCCCAGAAAAAACTTGAATTATGGAGGTCTACATTGGAGTCTAAAGACCTTTATTTAAGTAGAACTAAAACAGAATACAAGGAATGTAATTTTAGTAGTAGTAGTTCTAGTAACATAAGTGTGATTTTGGGTGATCAAATTATTAAAAGGAGTGAACGATTTAGATATCTTGGGTCTGTTGTTCAAAGCGATGGTGATATAGATGGGGGTGTTAATAGTAGAATTCAAGTTGGTTAGTTGAAGTGGAAGAATGTTTCGGGACTTTTGTGTGATAGAAAAGTACCACTTAGACTTAAAGGAAAATTTTATAAGACGATGGTGAGGCCTGCATGGCGTTGAATGTTGGCCTTTAAAAGAGAAGCATAATAATAAGTTAAGTGTTGTCGATATAACAATAATTAGGTGGATGAGCGGCTTTACACTTAGAGACAAAATGCGAAATGAATTTATCGGGATAGGGTTAGTGTAGCTCCTGTGACAAACAAAATTAGAGAAAGTCGTCTTTAGATGGTTTGGTCACATGTTTGGTCACATTAAACATCA